GAGTTAAAAATAAATATATCAGCCGTCCATTGTTTTTGTGTGTGTGTGTGTGTGTGTGTGTGTGTGTGTGTGTGTGTGTGTGTGAGAGAGGTGTGAGTGTGTGTGTGACAGGCAGAGAGACAGACAGACATGCAAACCCTCCCAACATAACCCATCCACACGCCCCATGACCCCACCCCCCACACCCCTACACCCCCACAACCCCTACACCCCCACACCCCCCACACCCCCCACACCCCTCACCCCCCACTCATAAGGTCTTTCCGATAAGCAACACCAAACTGTTCTTGACACCTGAGGGTTTAAAACCTACTTTCTCTCCCTCCTTTCACCCACACTTTCACTTTTTTTTATCTTCTTCTGTTCTTTTCTTTAGTGTATTTTACTTTCTTTTACTTTCACTGATGTTTTTATAATTTTCTTTTGTTATTGTTTTGCTTTCTTTTACTTTCTTTAGTATAATTTGCAACGTGGGTATTTATTGCAGTTGTACTAAATATTGCAACGAGAGTTTGTATTGCAGCTGTACTGTATATTATAACACACAAGGGCATATTCCACTATGGTGCATTATAGTATGTTGCAACATATTCGGGCGTATTACAACTATACTAACTATTGCAAAAAACGATGAAATATTGATAAGACCGATGAACTATTGCAAAACAGATGAAATATTGCAAAACCGATAAAAAATTGCAAAACCGATGAAATAATGCAAAAAACGATAAAATATTGCAAAAAAACCCGCTAAAATATTACAAAAAAGATAAAATATTGCAAATTTACTTACTATTGCAACACAAGAGGGCTTATTGCACTTGTATTGAATATTGCAACAACAGAGGGAGTATTTCAGTGTATATTGCTTCACTTATCAACATTAATATTGTGTTAATCCACTTCCTTAACCCTCGCAGCATAGGGGTCGTCGAACAGTACCTATTTAATCAGACAACTTTGTAGCTCTGTTCATGTCTGTCTGTCTGTGTCTGTCTGTTTACCTGGTTGTCTTTTTGTCTTTCTGGGTGTTTGAGTGTCTGTTTGTGTGTATGTGTGTGTGTGTGTGTGTGTGTGTGTGTGTGTGTGTGTTGTGTATGTGTGTGTGTGTATGTGTGTGTGTGTATGTCTGTCTGTCTATATGTATGTCTTTCCACCTTTACGTCTCTCTAAAATTAGGTACTCTCCTACGGCTTGGTGGACTGGGGAGGGGGGTGGCCCGATCGAACCAGCAAACCTTAGAGAAACGAGTGCTGTATCCACTCGTCCACTGGATCCCACTGACACACTCATTCAAGTTTAGTCGAGCGAGAGACGTTTGGCCATGAATAAATTCTTTGAATATTTAGGTGAAAAAGGTTTATTGAGACACGGTACAGACCAAATTTTAATCTAATGAGAGTTTAGTTAGGTTATTGGTTAGGGTATATATATATATAGGCTGTTAGGTTAGGTTAGATTAGATTAGGTAAAGTTAGGTTAGGAAAATTAGTTTCGGTCAGGTAAGGTTAGATGAGGTAAGGTTAGGTTAGCACAGGTGAGTTCAGGTCAAGTCAACTTAGGTCAGATTAAAACAGGTGAGTTAAGGTCATATCAGGTCAGGTCAGGTCAACTTAGGTCAACTCTACAATTTACTTCTCCACAAAATCTTTAAACTTAATTTCTCAAAACTTTATCCATTTTGGACTTTATAAAAAAAATCCGGTCTTGTTGTCTGTGTTTTTTCCTCTGTTTTTCTTGTGTCCTTCCTGTCTGTTTGTCTGTCTGTCTCTTACACTGTCTGACTTCCTTCCCTGTCTTCACGTTATTGTTTCCTGTGTGAGTTAAGGAGGTCGTGAGAGAGAGAGAGAGAGAGAGAGAGAGCATGTTAGGCTAGACCCGAAACGACGCCATTATTATTATTATTATTATTATTATTATTATTATTATTATTATTATTATTATTATTATTATTATTAGAACATAAATACATTGCAATTCCAAAATATATCTTGTTCTCACCTACTTTAAACATGTTTCACCTTTACCTATTCTATTTGTCTAATTTAAAACCATTTAAACAATGGTTTTAAATTAGACAAATTTAGATTTAGGCGTGAAATAGGTAAACACTGGTTTGAAACAGAGTAGTGGATGAATGGAACAAGCCACCAACATCATCATTAACTCGAATACGCTGAATTGCTTCAAACATTGGTTGATGCTCATATGAGCATAAGGGTTGGGTAAACGGACTGCTCCAGTATGGCCAATAGGCCCGCTGCAGTTTCCTCCATTCTATGTTCTTATGTTCTATGTTACGAGTTCGCTCCCTGGTTGATAGTTTGAGTACCTATGTAATGTCCCCTTTGTTTAGCCCTGCCTTCCACTTATACACCTCTATCAGGTCGCCCCTCGCTCTACGTTCTCAAGGAGTGCAAATTAAGATGCTTTAACCTGTCTCTATACTCAAGGTTCCTAATGCCCGATTAGTCTTTCATTCTCCTGAATTCTTCCAAGATTCTATATCCATTCTGTAATACGGTGACCAGAACTGAACTGCGTAATCCAGGTGTGGTCTCCACAAGAGCAAGATACAGTTTTAGTATGACCTCGCTAGTCTTGTAACTAACACTTTGTATGAACCCAAGTACTTTATTAGCCTTGTTACGAGCAAAAACACATTGTTTACTTGGCTTAAGGTTCCTACTTTTAATTACTCCTAAATCTCCTCGCAGTCGTATTTCTCTATGGCATCGTTGTTCATCTGGTATCTGGTTTCTGTTTACATCTCCTATACTGAGTACTTTATTTGTCGACGTTGAATTTCATCTGCCATTTTTCAGACCATTC